CAACATCATGTGATGCTGAAACTGATGGTGTTAAAAGCTCAAAGATACATATTTGTGCTGGCGGTGATGATGCTTGCAACAAGTATGGTAGTGGAAATAAACAAAGTAATTTACATGACCCCTCTGCCTCACTGTTCCTCACAAAATAAGTAAAGTAGTTAAACGAAGTGTGATAAGTTATTTTGTGAAAAAGTGGTTATGTACTGGAAATTAACAAAGTTTGTGTGAAAAATCAAAAGATGATAATAAAAAAAATTAAAGAGAGAAAGAAAGAGAAAGAAAGAGAGAGAGAAAGAGAGGAAAGACAAGGGAAGGTGCTGCTTATGAGTAGTTGAGTTATTATATTTCCACTTAGTATACTTATCAAATAATTTTTGCTATAGAGAAAAAATTTTGAAAAAACTGCGGAAGAAATAACAAACATGCCACTTGTCACAAAAAATGTTATATTCTTTCATTTTTGTCTTGTTGGTAGCTTTACTGACAACATTGCACTATAGTTTTGTGCAATTTTATTGATCTAATAAAAAAAATTTCAATTCAAAATCTTTAAATCTCATATATGATCGGATGACTGAAATTTATTTAAAAAGGAAATTACTTATTGCGGTATGCCAGCAACTCAACAATTCTGATTATAACTGTTGACATTTATCACCGGCCATTTGGTATTCCATCCTTGTCCCAGATTTTCATTGAATTAATTGAGTCAATCTATAACAAATTGTGGACAATCAGCAAAATGGTTCAAAAATCTCAAAATAGTTAAATTTATGAAAAAAAACACTTACCAACAAAAGCAAACAATTACAATTTTTTTGTCACTAATTAAATTGTTAAAGTTGAATTAATTTTTTCATATGGCAATTAACTATTTAGGCTGTCTAGCTTCTCTTTAATGTTCGACAAATTTGTATATGCGTAGATATAAGTATCTATTATACTACAGTTTATTTATTATTTTCGTAAATTATTTGTTTTGTAACATAAAAAAATATAATTATTTGCGTAATAATTAAAAAACAATTTACATTGAGACAACTGTATTCAAATGAAAATTTTTAATTCGATCTTTTAAGATCATTCAACAATCACACACAGGCTATACGCGTGTGAACCAAGCATCACACCCATTTCTTAAAATGTGCGTAAATCTTTTTGTATTCGAATCCATTCAGTGCAACTGCAGGACCAGACGCCTTTAACCATTGAGCCATCATGTCGCCTTATAGTTTATATTATAATTTTTCATTACAGTTTACTTTTCAAAACTCTCTACAAGTGTTTTTTGGATAAATTTAGTAGTTGTCTCAATTGAATAAAAATAGTATGCATGTAAAACAGTATTAAAACAAACACCAAAATTGGAGAAAATATAAAATAGTAAAAGTGGTTGAGCCTTTTTTTATTTGCACATTATTTTCTTTTATTTCTTGCATTTTAGTTGAAGTTAATTTTTTAAAATTACAATTTTATTGGCAAATTATATGTATTTTTAAGTAAAGCTAACACATTTGGAACGTTTTTGGCATATGGATATTCAACCAAGACTAGGTGGTTTGTAACCTGAGCTAGAGAGACTGTAACGGGGGCTAGATGGTCTGTAACCCGGACTTAATAGATTGTAATTAGGATTTGATGGATTGTCACCATTACTGGTTGGTTTGTAACCAAGATTAGATGAGCTGTAACTAGAGTTAGATAGCCTGTAACGAGGGCTCGATTGATTGTAACCAAATTTAGATGAACTGTAATCAGGGCTGGATGAGCTGTAACCAGGACTAGACGGATTGTAACTAGGATTTGATGGATTGTAAACAGAACTGGGTGTTTTGTAACCAGAATTAGATAAGCTGTAACTTAAGCAAGGTGAAATGTAACGTGGGCTAGATGGATTGTAACCAAATTTAGATGGACTGTAACCAGGGCTGAATGGATTGTAACCAGGATTAAATGATTTAGAGCCAGAACTAGATGGACTGTAATTAGAGTTAAATGGTTTGTAACCAAAAGTAGATGGAATGTAACGAGGACTATATGGGCTGTAAACAGGGCTAGATGGGTTGTAGCTTGGTGAAAATGTTTGCAATGTTGGCAAATAACTTAGTAATGTTGATGAGTATGATGGTGATGTCGGGAAATAAGTTGATGATGTTGGAGAACAATACTGCGATGCAGGGGAGTAAGCCGGTGGTGATAATGGTGAACCCGACAGTGAGGTTGGGTAATATTTCGGTGATATTGGTG